ATTTTACTAGAAATAGATGGAAATTTAACAATAAAGCTTTAGGATAAACGCAATGACTCTTAATCGTCAATTTCTCTCACTTATTTAGCAATATACCCTTATCACCTGCATGTAAGGTTTATATCTCTCAGTTGATCCGATACGCAAGGGCATGCATTTCGTACGTTTAATTTTAAAACGATGTTATTTATTAACAAATAAGTTGATGAAACGTGAATATCAACAGTATCGTTTAAAGTTACCAGTTCTTCCGTTTTATGGTAGATACAAAGTCCTTGTCAACAGATACCCTCTATCAAGTTAAAGGCTGATAGACAGTTTTCATAATAATAGCTAGGTCATTATTACACACTGAATGTATCTGTTTTTTCCTTTTATTTCCAGGTAGCGCACGGCGGGTGTGACCGGTCGGCAGGGGATGCTATCTCCTCCATGACACCTGGTTTCACCTCTGATGTTTTACGAGGGGTGATCAAAAAGTTCGCGAACTATCTCTATATCTACAAAACCACAATTCAGATTAGAATGAAATTCGGTACACATATAGCCATACACAAGGTCTATAAATAGCATATGCTGAATAAAGTTTTTTTCCTTGTTTGTGACGTCACAATGTGAAAATGATGTCACTATGTAGGTCACTTGTGACGAAAAATGGTTGTCTCAGTCGAACTCGTTCAACAAACGACTGTGCAATTTATTGTATATCTTAGAAATCCCTTTGCAGTATCATGTAATGATTTGTACACAGTTTATTGAGATAAATGAGTTCCTAAAAATCCAATTAATGATTGGATTGATCGTTTTAATGAAGGAAGGCAGATGGTTAAAAATGATACTTGTCATCTTGCCCAGTGAAAGCAAGTTTGAAAAGATATGTATTTTTAATTAAGCAATTTGCTATCAAAGACCTCCAATTAACACTTTTAATATTTGAACAATAATATAAGTATTAAATACCTAGGTTATCGTTTACTTTAGATTTTAAACTAATTAGATATGATGAAAAGGAGGCGTCCATTCTCTATCCGCCTTGAATAAAGGTCTCTCCCGAGACAAAAGATTTGTGTTTTAATGGTCGCCATGCTTATTTTTGGGAAAGGATATTCTTATCCACCCATTCTGTTGCCGAGATATGACCATTTCTGACAAATGAACTGTTCTTGTCATAAAAATTAACTCACATGGAAAGAAATATAAAACTCAGAAAAATCTTTCAACTTTTGTGGCAGAACGCTACGTGACCGCCAATATCACGTGATTCACGCATGCGCAGAACGGTGGTTGATGTGCATTAAAATTGGGGAGGATTAATTTAAAATATAATCAACATTAAAACCAAATATTGTTTCTTTTATGGAAGTTATTCAATTAGTTCGGGAACTTTTTGATCAAACCTCTTAGAAGTACCTGTCTGCTCTGCGCCTGATCTGTATTGTTTAATGGACTTTTAAGAATTCTGTTCGTTATCTCCTTGATTCATTCCATATGATTTAAAGAAGTGTACATATTTTGTAAAGATGGACAAGATATTGAATTTAAAATTCTTATTTTGAAATTAGACAACTATGTATTTTTAGATGTGCTTATTTCAAAAGTTTTGCGTGCATGGTTATGTAAAAGATTAAACTTGTTGACTTTAATGAAACAAAGTCTAGCGATTTGAAGAAAAAAATAAGACCTTATGAAAAAGGTGCTTTGATTGAGTTAAAAAAATTGTCAGTGCCTTATTTCACTCCTTCATCAATTCATCTGTAACATACATTGACTGATATATATATTCCATGACCGATATCATAGTCCCAAGGCTGTGACCAATATTCTCCATCACAAAACGAAATCCTCGTTTATACACCAAACGACATCAAAATAAACAATAGATATATGTGATGAATAAGAATGTATACTACATGCTCCTAAAACGACCTACTGTTAGAGTTCATTTTTCTTGATATTTATTTGTTGCTTCGAGACCAGTGCAAGAATTTACAGAGTTTGCCACACAAATAGCATTTGATCATTAATGATTATCATTTTGTAACAAAGTTTCATAAAGCATTGCCCATGTATAAGTGCATTTGTCCCACCTGTATCAACCTATCAATAAAAGGAAAACCGTTTTATCTGTCTGTTTGATAACCTTCTATACAAAGACAACATGTGGTCGGGAAAAAAAAGCATATTGGCTTGAGGTCAGGAGATAAAATTGTAATGATGGGAGTAAATAATGTTAATAACACAGAAAGAACTATTTTAACTTTCAATCACATTTTTGCTACTGTCGTGAAATTGGACCAGAAAGTAGTTCTGCTCTTAGGGTCTAAAACATTGATTGGTAGACTATTAAAGATTGCTTTTTGAGTATTCTATCTTGCATTTTGATGAGTTATTTTAAATTAGTGTGTATTTATTGTGATGTGAAAAGAAGTTGTGCGAATTTATTTCAGATATCTAAATCTAAAACAATCTAAATTCTATGGTCGATATAGAATAAACTTGTTTGCAGAAAAAACCTGTTGTTGAGATGTATTTTGACTGATTCCAACGACATTTAAGGCCATTGCTTTTACCAATACTTTGACGTGGTATTACTCCATATACCTTATAAAACAGAAGGATCTCGATGGGTTTTACCAATCTACAATACAAACTTATTCAGACTAGACGCCAGGCCCAAAGACCATAAAATGAGAACTGACTAAAGTCAAAATTTCAAATTAATATAACTTTTGAAATAATTTTGATAACAAAGAAAAATTTTACCATATGTTTGAAATTATAATGTTATACAATACTGCGAATTTTGGATAGAGTATGTATAATACAAAATAATAATTACATGCTATTCAAAATCAAAATTTTGAGTTAAGTCTGTTCTCAGTATTTGGCCTCCAGACCTGGCAACTGGAACTTATATAACATTTTTAATTAGTTTACAGGGGATGTTATTTTGCTCTGTTCACGATTTGTTTTGACTGTAGAATTCATAAGATCAATAACTCGCTAACTTTACTTTCTCACAAAAACATTTATCACATTTCGATTTGTTTTTGGCTTTTTTTCTGGTTAGTCCATTAATTTTAGATTTTATAATTCTTTCATAAGAAGTAGAAATCATTTAATCGAGAAATAATAACTATTTAATGTTTGACCTATTATGTTATATTTATCGTCATTGTTCTAACTTGACACTGATTGAAAAGTGCAATTGTCAAAATAATTACGAAATACAGGTTTAAATTTGCATATCTGACATTAAAATATATCTCTAGGGGATCATGTCTTTATCTTTTAATTGTTGGAACTAAATGGATAATGCATGTCAATGCACTGAAAATGTCTATTTCATACTTTTATCTTCCAGGGAGCCTTTTCAACAAATATTCTTCATGTGTATAACTATATATACAGTGTATTTATACTTTTATTAACTTTATCAAGAACATTTGATCGCGTTTATCAAAAACAATACAAGTGTAAAAAGCCATAGCATTTATCAACAAGAAGCACTGATACCCACGTATGACATCTCATTGTGAAGATTAAAGTTCCTGAAATCCAAGTCAAAAACAAGGTTATGTCAAAAGATGCAAAAAAATGGTATCCAAAGAAATGTCTCTTCACAAGGTGTTCACCTTTAAAACCCTAGCACTGACTGTTCAAGAATTATCAACAAGGTAAGGTCAGGCCAATTTTTTTTAAATTAAAAAAAAAGTTTTAGTTGCCCTCTCCCGACGGACTGAATAAAAATGACTCGACTCAAAACTTTTTGTTAAATTTCAGAACACAATTCTTTTTCTTTTTATTCCTCTCATAACGTCCACAAATATGTTAAAAATTTCCGGAAAGAAAGATTTTCCCACCTACTTACCAACCCAATAATTTTACCATGAGTCAGGAGAGCAAGCACACATTATTTTAAAGATGGCCTAAAAGAGTTTCAAAAGTATTAGTATGCCTTACTCCAAGGTTAAGGGGTCAAAAAGCCATAGGACCAACCAATAAAATGTCAGGCCTAGGTAAACTGTTTTTTTTTTTCAAAGAAGTCAATCTTTCAAATCAAGGAAAAAAGATCAAAACCTTTGGTAATTTAGGTTATCTTAAAAAAATGTTTTGTTGCTCTCACCCGACCGACTGAATAAAAATGGCCAAATTCAAAACTTTGTTTTAAAATTCCAGGGCACGTTAATTTTTCTTTTTATTCCTGTTATTTCGTCAACACATATGTTGAAATTTTATGGAAAAAAGATTCCCCACCTACCTACCCCCCAATAATGTTTTCCTGAGTCAAGGGAGGGCAAGCAAACATTATTTTAAAGATGGCCTTATGGAAGGTCTGCCATATTAGGACACATCTGTCAAATATTAAAGTTCCTTAGCTAGCATCAACTGTTTCTCATAAGTGAGTAAAACTTCAGGCCAAAGACACTTAAAAGTTGTACGTTTGTTTGTAAGAGGTGCTGTCTCTGTGCAATATTGACGCCATAATTCCAACCATGGAAAACGAATGGCTCAGGTTAAAGTGGGTCAAACTGGAATGTCAATTTGAACCAATTAGGGAAGTTCCTTTTTCAAACTATATGCTCATGAATTAAAAGTAAAATTTTCCAAAGTTAGAGTAAATTCCTTGTGACAAGACCTTTCTTTGAGTACCAATTTACGTAATTGGTACTCAAAGATAGATCTTGTCACAAGGAATACACAAGTGAGATGTGAAAATTATAGCTTTAACAAAAGTTGTATGACGATGTGTTTTCGAGGCTAAAGATTAACAGATAAGAAAAAACATATAGATAGACAAAAGGACCGATTGATAAAATACGGACAGACGGACAAAAATTAGTTCCCAGAATTTTTGTATACGGGGCCATAATGAGCTATTTCAAAATGAATAACGAAAAAAGTCTTAATTCACAAGAAATCATTTTTATAAAATGATATATGTACACGTTAACATAACTGTAGCTTCAAGCTACCTAACTCATGGTCTTCAGGGCCAGCTGAGACCAAGACAGCTAGGAGTAGAGATTTAAACATAATTTAAAATACAATTGTGTTAAAAATACCCAATTAAACTCAATAAACTGTAGTCTGTAAACCTCTTGGAAGGTTTCTAGTAGCATAAGATGTACAGAAAGAATTTGTATTTTTAGTACCATAACGAGTCTAATGAGGCAAGGAAGAATGTGTCTCTCATATCAAACATTTCTTAATTTATACGTGCACCTACAAGTAAATTTACATTTTTTGGGAAGTTCCCTCTCAGATCGTCGCGAATCCGACGAGGAGGAGGAAATAAGTGGGTTTGACAAAGACCTCCGAATTCGTTCGTGTCTGAATCGAGAATTCGTCTCTCTTGTGTATGGGTCATCAACTTCATGGGAGCAATTTCGTTTTTTAATCGTACATCTCAAACACGTCACGTGTCTTTTTATCTCTGCGCGAAACGACTGATTCATCCAACAATACAATATAGGGTTTATACACGAACTTGCTATGGCAATCCAATGACATACAAAAAAGGCAGCACTGCTGTATTTGAATGTGATCCTGTTTGGATGAAGATCAGTCAGAAGGTGATAAAAGTTAATGGGTGCCCAGCACACTGTGAACACTATCACCACAGCAACCAATAATTTTATTGTTTTCCTTTTTTTCTGAATTTCCATTCTTCTCTGAGTCTCCGTTACCACACCTAAATGAGTCCGTAACCAAAGTTTTTGAATCACTCGAATGTATGCCACAGCAATAACTCCAACTGGTAAAAAGAATTGTAAAACCGCGGTACTTATCGTGAGCGCCTGTTCCCACTTTTCAGCTGGCTGGGGGAAAACGGTTGTGCACCTTTTCAATTTTGCAAAAATGAAATTAGTTTCCGCTACTTTGGTAAAAAATCCGTAAGGCAGTGCTAGTAAAATTGAAAGAAACCATATAGCAAAAATAATAACATAGCTGATTCTTTTTGTGATTCGAGGTTGCAATGGATACAGTAATACCTGATGTCTGTCCAGGGCAATGGCGGTTAAAGTAAAAGTGGACACATAGGTTGACAACATCAGAGAAAAATTCAACATATAGCACAGAAAGTCTCCCAATGCCCATTCTCGCGTCACATGTCTCGCAATATTTAATGGAACATTCAGAAAAATTAGAATTAAATCCGAAATGGACATATTCACTATAAAAACATTAGTTACAGTTCGCATTTTCTTGTTCTTTCCAACTACGTAACAAACAACAACGTTGCAGATTAAGGTTACCACAACCAAGGGAACGAAGGCAGAAATAAGGACCGTCTGAGTGGATGGATCTGAACTGCTTTGAAAAATATTTAGCGTTGTCGAATTTTTCAAATCATCCGGGAATATATCATGAAGTGTTTCATTGTCCATGGAATCAAAAATCTTTTCGATGTCATCCATTTTAAAATGTAAAACCGACATCATGAAACTATACCACTTTCCAGAGATGAATGCAATTGAGTTATCCCTCTGGTGCCATTTCTTTGTTTTATTTTAGCGGGTAATCTGAAATAAAAACAATTCAAATTAATAGATGTAAAATTGAATACATTTTGTATATAAAAAATCTGCATATTAGAATTTAGATATTCTCTGTCATTGAATACCATATTAAAATTCAAATCACCTTTGCGTTCAGACACATATACACAAACATTTTCCGTTTCTTTCTACCGATCAATCAAATTTGCATAAAAAAAAAATCGTATTCGAACAATTATGACCACTCTGTGATTACCTCCGATATTTTTCATCCTGTAAAATTTCAAAAGAATTTGTAAAATACAGAAATTCCTTGTTCATATGTCATGCATTCCATTAATTTTCCATGAAGCGTTCATTTCTACTAATCCTTGACAGCAATGTATCCGATACATCATACATTATCGAAACATCCTTTCGTTTTGCTAATTAGGCAATAAGTCCTTTATTTCCTTTGTCAAGAAACAGGATATATCCATTTTTGATCTGTAATTTCCTCGCCTTGATCAATTAAATGAAATTTATTCACACATTCCGTATCTAACTGACATTGGACATACACTTGAACTGTATCTCATTCAGAGGAAAGGGTAACATTGATAATAAATGTTGTTTATTTGTAATTCGTCACAATATGTACAGATGAAATTCTATAATCTATTTAAAAAAAGGTTAAATACTGATTTTTATAATTTCACGAAAAATAACTTTTAAAATGATGTATTTCTGTGCTAGAAAGACAAGAGATAGGAAACAAGAAAACTATTCCGATATTTGCATGATCGGTACCAGGTACGAGACGCCTGGCTTGCCTTAATATCTCAGTGGTCTCTATCATCCCTTAGTTGATTCACAATGCTTTATACAATAAGACAAATTAGCATTTCTAAGTGATTTTTGAGGTTTCTGATGCTATTGATCGGGATAACCTTGATATGTATATCTACTGCCTCTGAAGGGTATATCATCAGCTCTCCTGATTCCTTTGATCATTTCTCGGTCCAGACTAATGGATTATTTATTTCTTAATCCATCAAAAAGCAATCATTACATAAGTGTTTTTATAGACACCTGATACGCTTTTTATACAATACTAGCAGAACATTGGTTTGTTCAAGGTAGTGCTTTGTTAAGATGTTTCAAACACGATTTTAGCTCTTAGTATTAAAGTATGACACTGAATGTCATTTATGATTTAAAGTCTCTGACATGTCTAGAAGCTTTATTGTCTGATGTTGGGGATAGTCATTTCTGAAATGTCCGATGGTCAGTCGTTACTTATTTTTTGATTAATGTCATCAATTACATCACTATCTAATAATTAGTCAGTATTTTTAAATGTGTGATGATAGTTGAGTCATTATTGAAATGTCTGATGATAGATCAGTCAGTTTTGAAATAGGTGATTATGATAGATCAGTCAGTTTTGAAATAGGTGATTATGATAGATCAGTCATTATTGAAATGTCTGGTGATAGTTTAGTGATTATTGAGATGTCTGATGATGGGTCGGTCTTTATTATAATGCGTGATGATAGGTCAATCGTAACGAAATATCCCATGAAAAGTCAGTCATTATTGAAATGTCTGGTGATAAGTCAGTCATTATTGAAATGTCTGATGATAGGTCAATCATTATTGAAATCTCTGGTCAACTTATCAATAAGTAGCACGCCGTGCTCTTAAAATGTATCGAACTCTGAGCAAGCTCTTATACTTAGAATAATATTTATTCAGAAAAACTGAATGGATTAGGCAAGAGGCAGGCAATGCATATAAAAACCCTCTCCATACAAGAAGCAACTCTGGATTAGTGAATAAGTTGGTAGGTGGTAGTGGAATATTACTACATAAATAACCAAGTTGAGGATAAAACAAGCTCAAAACATCTCGTTTATCACAAGGTAAAGTTGTTAAATGAGCCCAATCGGCTATAGTCAGTAAAACACCCACATATGATCGGGATCTGTGGTGTCTTTTATTTCAAGCTCACTTGAAAATATTGAGTAGAGATGTGAATTAAAAACAAATTCATTGATAAAACGTCATCGATATATCTAAATTTCGAATTTCGAGGCCATAGCAAGTGATTTCCTCTTCTTTGCTGCTTTTCTGCTACTTATAAATATCTTTATAAAAAGGTAAGCTCATAAAGGAGAACCATCGGTATTCCGACCATTTGCTGGAAACTAGTCTCCGAAGACTACATAAATACATGCATTGCCAATGAGGAACTCCAGCATCCTTTAATATCAATTTCTAAGCACTTGTGTGTACACTCATAGTAGTTTTTAACAAAGCGTAATTTTGCAATGACCAATCATAAGATCAGAAAAATTCCACGTCCCGTTTTTATTGAAGAAGAAGTTGTCTTTGATATCAACAGCTTAAAAACTTACGACTTTTCAACTTTGTACACAACCATTCCCGACGATAAATTAAAGTCCAGGCTTTTTGATATCATTGACAGCTGCTTTTTCAATAAAAATGGAACTCGTAAACTTACTTATTTGGTCATTGGTCCTTTGCAAAATTATTTTGTTAAAACACATTCTGATTGCACACACAAGTACTCTGAAGTTGACATCAAAAAGATGTTTGAGTTTCTGATTGACAATATCTATGCGGGTTTTGGAGACCAGGACTTCCAACAATATATTGGAATTCCCATGGGTACCAATTGCGCCCCGTTATTAGCAGACCTATTTTTGTATTCTTATGAAGCAGAATTTATGAAAAATCTTATGTGTGAAAAGAAGAAAACACTTGCTGTGGCCTTCCACTCAACATTTAGATATATCGACGACGTTAATTGTCAATTTACGAAGGTAATTTCCATTCATATGTCGATACGATATATCCTGGTGAGCTTGAGATAAAAGATACCATGGAGTCTGACTCATCTGCTTCATACTTGGATATCTTACTTGAAAAAGATGTCAACGGTAATCTAACATCCAAACTCTATGATAAACGTGATGGATTTAACTTTTCTATCGTAAACTTCCCTTACGTACATCAATATACCTTCATCACCTGCATACGGCGTTCATATATCTCAGTTGATTCGATACGCGAGAGCATGCTCTACGTATGAGCAATTTCTAAAACGAGGTAAATTATTGACAAACAAGTTGATGAAATAAGAATATCAACAGTCTCGTTTAAAGTAATCATTTCGTAAGTTCTTTGGTCGATACAATGACCTTGTCAGCAAATACAATTTATCATTGATTCAACTGCTGACTGACGTTTTTAATACTTATTGTTAGTCTATTATTTATACACTGAATAGACGATGGGTTTTATCCCAATCATTACAAAGAGCACACGGCTGGTGTGACCGGTCAGCAGGGGATGCTCACTCCTCCATGGCACCTGATCCCACCTCTGATATTTTAGAGGTCTGTGTTTGCTCTGCTCCTATTTTGTATTGTTTTATGGACTTTGATATTGAATACTGTTCGTTATCTCCATATCCTTCATTAAAAAGTCTAAATTTTAATTTATCGAGAAGAATTGTTGCATTAAGTGTAGAGAAGTCGTATCATTTGATGATATAGAACTTTTTTTAAAAAGTTATGATTTTAAGTTTCTGAAAGTTCTTTAGAGTTTTTGAAGATCCACATTTAATTTTCGCCATCTCTACAGTACACTATATCTTATTTCTAACATACCTTTTTCTCTTTTTTCATTTAATATTAAGCTTTTAGGCGGACTCAAACTTAATAGAGTTACAAAAGGGTGGGTCGATCAATTCCACAATTTGTAAAGTGGTTGTAATGAAACTTTTTTAAAAAATTAAATAAATATCGAAGCATGACAAATTTCGAAAAAATACAACAACATTTCAGTCGTTTGGCAACTACATGTATATTAAAAGAGATTGTGACGCAGTCAGTTTGTTATTTGGTATGTGTCCTTTCTCACCTTGAGTCCAAAGATATCATGACCCACTAGTTATATATATCTTAGCTCCAATTCCTACAGGATTAAAATAAATAATATTTGATCAGTTGTCTTGGTTTATGTTTATTCGATTTGTCAATGGCTACCTAAGTATTGTCGTCTTCGTTACCCCCTGAGAAAATGTCATTCTTTTTAGAATTCAAGAATTGTGATTAAGGGATTTTCTTAGGACTTTGATATATTATGACATATCTCAATTATAGTTTTATTACTTGAGAAATATTATGAATCTGCACTTTTATGTAATGCCACAAGAGGATGAATAATTCTTTGTGTCGTGAATAATCTCGAACGTGCTGAAAAATCAGGCTTGAGTAATGGCTTTGCACTTTCGATTTTCTCTTGCCAGGAAAAACAGTGAATTTCTCTACAGTGCAATGTTTATTGGTGTGAATTTATTGAATTTTTTTAAAACAAATATTTTACTTATATATATATATATATATACTTGTTTCAAGTAATCTTAAATTATGAGAAATGAAGGACCTGTTTTATTTCACAAATAATAATGATGAAAAGTTTAACCATCACTGGCACCATATCAATTTTTGTAAATCATTCAATTAATAGCATAAATTTTCAGGAACCTGCAATAAACTAAATACCTAATCGATCGATAGACTTTCTCACCAACAGGGTGCTATAAAAAGGCAGAATTTTGGTCATGCATTTTTATTGAAGAAAGTTAAAAAGGCGTTTCTAATTTAAAATACCCCCTGTAGAATTCCTTATAGATGGTTTTTTTTATTCAACAGGAAGTTTTACGTTCAATGAATCTCTAGTGAAGGAAATCAGTTTATGTTCGTCAAGCAGGCGGCTTACAAGCATTGCCTTTTTAAGGTTTCGACATTAAATTTAAGAGTCTTGTAAGAATCTCAGCGTCCATCTCTCTGTCAACTCTCTTTTTGTGACGTAATGTAAAGTTTAAAAATATGTACAAAAGTGCTTTTCTGTAAGAGTAAAACAAGGTCATATTTCCTCGCCTATCTGTCTTTTTTTGTATTTTATGAATACAGACTGTTCATTTTATTATTTATTGATTCGTCTGTTGTGACACAATTACCC